AGAATTTCCCTGTATTTAGCGCCATCCATCATTCCTTCAATTCTGACCAGTTTCCCAGTCCCTGCCGATGAAAAACATCCCCACAGCATGATGCTGCCACCACCATGCTTCACTGTGGGGATGGTGTTCTCGGGGTGATGAGAGGTGTTGGGTTTGCGCCAGACATTTTCCTTGATGGCCAAAAAGCTAAATTTTAGTCTCATCTGACCAGAGTACCTTCTTCCATATGTTTGGGGAGTCTCCCACATGCCTTTTGGCGAACACCAAACGTGTTTGCTTATTTTTTTATTTAAGCAATGGTGTTTTTCTGGCCACTCTTCCGTAAAGCCCAGCTCTGTGGAGTGCACGGCTTAAGGTGGTCCTATTGACAGATCCTCCAATCTCCGCTGTGGAGCTTTGCAGCTCCTTCAGGGTTATCTTTGGTCTCTCTGTTGCCTCTCTGATTAATGCCCTCCTTGCCTGGTCCGTGAGTTTTGGTGGGCGGCCCTCTCTTGGCAGGTTTGTTGTGGTGCCATATTCTTTCAATTTTTTAATAATGGATTTAATGGTGCTCAGTGGGATGTTCAAAGTTTCTGATATTTTTTATAACCCAACCCTGATCTGTACTTCTCCACAACTTTGTCCCTGACCTGTTTGGAGAGCTCCTTGGTCTGCATGGTGCCGCTTGCTTGGTGTTGCCCCTTGCTTAGTGGTGTTGCAGACTCTGGGGCCTTTCAGAACAGGTGTGTGTATATATACTGAAATCATGTGACAGATCATTTGACACTTAGATTGCACATAGGTGGACTTTATTTAACTAATTATGTGACTTCTGAAGGTAATTGGTTGCACCAGATCTTATTTAGGGGCTTTATAGCAAAGGGGGTGAATACATATGCACACACTACTTTTCCATTATTAATTTTTTAGAATTTCTTGAAAAAGTTATGTTTTTTCATTTCACTTCATCAATTTGGACTATTTTGTGTATGTCCATTACATGAAATCCATTTAAATTACAGGTTGTAATGCAACAAAATAGGAAAAACGCCAAGGGGGATGAACACTTTTGCAAGGCACTGTATTTATGAGTGCTATATATAAATATTTACTAAATAAGCTAAAGTAAAAAAAATAACAATAACTAGGCTATATACAGGGGGCCGGTACCGAGTCAATATGCGGGGGTACAGGTTAGTCGAGGTAATTTGTACATGTAGGTAGGGGTAAAGTGACTATGCAAAGATAATAAACAGCGAGTAGCAGCAGTGTAAAAACAAAAGGGGGGGGGGGGGGGGGGGGGGGTGTCAATGCATCTTTTTTTCATTGCATTAGAAGGTGAAGGTGAACACCTACTCAGACGTTTCGCTGAGAGATCTTCATCAGACCGTCCCTTTTTCCTTTCCGCACTCTGGGAAAAGGGAAGTATCTGAACATTTCCCAATTTTTCTTCATTCTATGAGTAGCCTCTGTCTTTGTTTACAGCAGAACCCATTGCTATGCAGATTAATATCCGGTGTGTCATGTTGATATAATAATAATAATATGCCATTTAGCAGACGCTTTTATCCAAAGCGACTTACAGTCATGCGTGCATAATTATTTTATTTTTTGTGTATGGGTGGTCCCGGGGATCGAACCCACTACCTTGGCGTTACAAGCGCCGTGCTCTACCAGCTGAGCTACAGAGGATATCTACTCCGTCCCTCCTCTCCCCTTGCTCCGTTAGTGATTGTATGGATATCTGAAATGGCTGCTCGTGAATTAAGTGGATTTACTGATGGACCTCATTGTAATTTTGAGAATAGACACTGGAAATCTCATTTTGCCTCTCCGTGTTGTTATTGCTCTGCTGCTGTTGCCCTGAAAAAGTCTTAGCTTGGTGTTTTCCTTTGGCTGGCCCTCTCTCCACTCTCATTACCTGTTTATATACAGACAGTACACCAGGCAGTCACAGAGTTTCCTTTGCTTTACACTCTCTGTCTAAGACTGGGTGAGGGGGCCATATCCTGTCAGCATCGTCCTGTCAGCCTCAGCGGTTTCAACCATCCACCAGGAAAGTGTTTACGTGCCTAGCTAGCTTGTCAACAGTTCGGTCATTGAGCCTCAGTGTTTTCAACCAGACACCAGGAAAGTGTTTACTTGCCTAGCTAGCTAGTAGTCAACAGTTCGGTATGTTGCCTTGCATACTGGTAAGAGCCTCTTAACAAAGCAGCAACAATGAGGTCTATCTCAGATAATGGCAGTGTCAATGACTTGTGAGTTATTGACACTGACAGTCCTACTACACTTAGTAGGACTGTCTCTCCCCTCTCAATTCTTAGATCGTCTATGAGAATAATTGAATTAACTGGTAGTTGTAATTGAATGACGTGCTATAGTGCTCCTATACGATCCTGTGGACACCTGGGGCTCTGCGTATATATATTGTCTAATTTTCCCAGAAATGGAACCAAATCTAGCCTTAAGAGGGGTTTCCTGAGAGGGGTCACCCAGCCACTGACCCAGGACCTGTTTGTCCGGTGTCTCTCACTCTCGCTCTGTCTCTCTTGCTCTCGCTCTGTCTCTCTCGCTCTGTCTCTCTCGCTCTGTCTCTCTCGCTCTCTGTCTCTCTCGTTTTGTCTCTCTCTCTCTTTCTCTCTGTCTCTTTCTCTCTCTGTCTCTCTCTCTTTCTCTGTCTCTATTTCTGTCTCTGTCAAGACTCAGAAAGTGGATGAAGAGCATTGGGCTCGCCCAGTGTTTCCTCCTGTTTTGAAAACATGGCAGCGAGGCAGGATGGACATATGTGACTAGACAGGACAAAATATGTAATGGGGTTAAGTATAAAGGATATTCAGGATAGTCACCTGGGCTTAGAGCATATGTCCAAGTTTCAAGTTTATTCCATTTAATAGTCTCTCCTGTAGGTAACGTATCGGTTGTGTGTTTCTGTGTGTGTGTCCGTAAACAATCAGCTGTCCATTTCCAGTGGGAGCACACTTCATTAAAGTGCACTTTGGCCGTCTGCTACACAGGCCACTTCATTTACAGTGAGATGGATTTGACTATTAAGATGTAATGAGTCCACAGGCCCGAGTGCCATTGGTGCGAAGAGGCTCACACTAAGATGAGGAAACAAACAATGACTCAGCTGAAAAAGAAAACACACCTTATTCCCTATGTTGTGCACTACTTTTGACCAGAGCACTAGGGGCCCTGGTCTAAAGTAGTGCACTATAAAGGGAATAGGGTGCCATTTGGGACACGGCCTGCCCTACCTACCTGCCTGTTTTGTCTTCCCAGTAGCCATTAACTCCATGCCCAGCACTGAATTATAGATGTGATGATCTAACCACTTGGTTAGAATTGGAGGAAATGTATGTCCTGATGGCACAGGAGGGGGGAGTGCCATAGTGCATTTTTAAGTGACTTTTGAACAGTTATTTTGTTGATGTGTAAATCAAATGTGAGATCTTCAAAGCATATCTTGTACTGTAGCTGGCTGTTGTAGGGGCATTATTGAATGTGTGTTTTTAGTGCAAACAAAACATTTGATTCACTCATATCACTCTCAAGTCACTCTCCAAACCACCATCTTGAGCTAGAAGAGGCAGTTTGTGTGTGTGTTCATCATGAGGCCCTATTGCCCCGAGCCAGTAGGTTACTGATGGAAAACTGCCTCTGTCACCTCAACATTCTGCCACTGTCCCCACATTTGCTCTGTGTCACCTCAGTGTCCCTGCGCCTTGCCTGGGGGGAGAGACAATGTCTGCACCCCAAATGGCACCCTATTCCTTTTATAGTGCACTACTTTTGACCAGCACTGCCAGGGCCCTGGTCAAAAGAAAGTGTACTATTGACATTTAAGTCATTTAGCAGACGCTCTTAAGGAGTAGGGTGCCATTTGACCCTGTCTGGTTCCCATTTGGGACTGAGAAACAGACAGTGATGTTAGAGAGCCAAGTGTAACCCCACTGTGCAATTCCGGAAAATGGAATTGTCACTCAATGAATAAAACAGAAGTCCTTAGAAGAAGCTGCTGTTGAAATGTGTCAGTGTGACTTTCCTCCTGTATCTGTGATGATGAATGTGATTCACATGCTCTTCAAGGAACATAGTGTTGTCTTGGGGAATATAATGTGAAGATAGTATTTTTCTCCCTTTCTCTGTCTACACCATGCCAGAACTCTCATTTACTTGTAACCCACAGTGTCCCAAACCTATTCCTCTTGTTTAGAAACCCATTCACAACCCATGACTCCTATTAAGCCTCCCTCCACTGTACATCCCCCCCGCAGCAGCAAACGGTGCACTGTAATGGCAACCGTACGGGAAACCGCAGCGATGGGCTCATTTTCATACTGATGAAGTGAGCTGTTGCTGTGGCTGCCATTGCCGCTGCTCCTCTGCCTTCTGCAATATAACCATGAAGTTTAATGACCCTGTCTGGTTCCCACTTTTTTCTCTCTCTCTCTCACTCTCTCTCTCTCTCTCACACTCTCTCTCTCTCTCTCTCTCTCTCTCTCTCTCTCTCTCTCTCTCTCTCTCTCTCACTCACTCACTCACTCACTCACTCACTCACTCACTCACTCACTCACTCACTCACTCACTCACTCACTCACTCACTCACTCACTCACTCACTCACTCACTCACTCACTCACTCACTCACTCACTCACTCACTCACTCACTCACTCACTCACTCACTCACTCACTCACTCACTCACTCACTCACTCACTCACTCACTCATACAATAGGAGTCAGAGTCCTGGCCATTTTGTCAGGTTCTAATAGTGGCATAGGGGGTTCTTATGTAGGTTACCCGTCTTATGTCATATTGTCTGCGTACCATTTTTTTGTGAATGAATTAAACCATACAACTCATTTCAGTCAGTGTGGAATGGAACATCTTTCAATGTCTGTGCCAATGGGACTCAGGAGGCTTGGTTTAATAAGATGCCTGTGTTGCTGTCACAGAGATCCTAAAAGTCACTATAGGAGTTCTATATGTAATTCTATGGTTGTTGTCTTGTGTTTTGCAGGAGGAGGAGGGGCATGGGGAGGAGGAAAACGGCAGGATCGCGCCGGTTGGCCGAGCTGACTCCTGTATGGCCCACACCCCTGTGAGGTCACTGGAGTAAGTCATCTCAGAAAGAGTATTCCCTTTATAGTGCACCACTTTTGACCAGAGCCCTATGGATCCTGGTCAGAAGTAGTGCACTATATAGGGAATAGGGTGCCATTTGGGGCAGAACCAGAGCTCTCTTGTCTGCTTCTCTCTCAACGTAACTACCTCTCTGATCACCTGACGTTGATCCCTAACAAGTACAGGAATAACATTCACCTGTAGCAGGAGAATATTAGTATTTACATTTTAGTCATTTAGCAGACGCTCTTATCCAGAGCGACTTAGTGAGTGCATACATTTTTTATTTATTTATTTATTTAATTTTTCTCCATACTACCAGTTAGTACCAGTTAACTAACTAGATTTAGGCCAAGAAATAATGCATTCCACAGGTTTGGAGAAAATCTTTTTAAACCCCTGGCTAATGTTCTTTTAAGGAACTCAAACATAAACATCATCATAACCATCAAATGTACCCATGTACTGATCCATTGTCCTGGGGATATTAATAACACTCTGTTTTCTAACTGTCATCTCTCTTGCATGCCATCAGTCTAATCTGCAGGTACAGTATGGTATTGATATTATTTCACCCAATAAGAAAGGCGTCCTCACCTCCCAATAGAATACAATTATGTTTTTATGCATATAACCTTTATCCTAAAGGTAATAGAAACATGTATACAAAGCACCAACCTATGGAAACTCAAGGGGTTAGAGGTCAAAGAATACAAGAACAACACTATTTTTTTAAAAGGAATTTGATACAGTTAACTGTACAATTTAGGCTTATTTACAAGAACAACACAATTTTTTTAAAGGAATTTGATACAGTTCACTTGTCTCCGATTTCCCAATAAAAATCCTATCTGAAAGACTATCTGAAGGTCTAGACATAAATATGTAAAGATATGATATGTATAACTATGTATACATAGTATACAGTGGGGAGAACAAGTATTTGATACACTGCCGATTTTGCAGGTTTTCCTACTTACAAAGCATGTAGAGGTCTCTAATTTTTATCCAAAATCCAGAAAATCACATTGTATGATTTTTAAGTAATTAATTTGCATTTTATTGCATGACATAAGTATTTGATACATCAGAAAAGCAGAACTTAATATTTGGTACAGAAACATACGTTTCCTGTAGGTCTTGACCAGATTTGCACACACTGCAGCAGGGATTTTGGCCCACTCCTCCATACAGACCTTCTCCAGATCCTTCAGGTTTCGGGGATGTCGCTGGGCAATACGGACTTTCAGCTCCCTCCAAAGATTTTCTATCGGGTTCAGGTCTGGAGACTGGCTAGGCCACTCCAGGACCTTGAGATGCTTCTTACGGAGCCACTCCTTAGTTGCCCTGGCTGTGTGTTTCGGGTCGTTGTCATGCTGGAAGACCCAGCCACAACCCATCTTCAATGCTCTTACTGAGGGAAGGAGGTTGTTGGCCAAGATCTCGTGATACATGGCCCCATCCATCCTCCCCTCAATACGGTGCAGTCGTCCTGTCCACTTAGCAGAAAAGCATCCCCAAAGAATGATGTTTCCACCTCCATGCTTCACGGTTGGGATGGTGTTCTTGGGGTTGTACTCATCCTTCTTCTTCCTCCAAACACGGCGAGTGGAGTTTAGACCAAAAAGCTCTATTTTTGTCTCATCAGACCACATGACCTTCTCCCATTCTTCCTCTGGATCATCCAGATGGTCATTGGCAAACTTCAGACGGGCCTGGACATGCGCTGGCTTGAGCAGGGGGACCTTGCGTGCGCTGCAGGATTTTAATCCATGACGGCGTAGTGTGTTACTAATGGTTTTCTTTGAGACTGTGGTCCTAGCTCTCTTCAGGTCATTGACCAGGTCCTGCCGTGTAGTTCTGGGCTGATCCCTCACCTTCCTCATGATCATTGATGCCCCACGAGGTGAGATCTTGCATGGAGCCCCAGACCGAGGGTGATTGACCATCATCTTGAACTTCTTCCATTTTCTAATAATTGCGCCAACAGTTGTTGCCTTCTCACCAAGCTGCTTGCCTATTGTCCTGTAGCCCATCCCAGCCTTGTGCAGGTCTACAGTTTTATCCCTGATGTCCTTACACAGCTCTCTGGTCTTGGCCATTGTGGAGAGGTTGGAGTCTGTTTGATTGAGTGTGTGGACAGGTGTCTTTTATACAGGTAACGAGTTCAAACAGGTGCAGTTAATACAGGTAATGAGTCGAGAACATGAGGGCTTCTTAAAGAAAAACTAACAGGTCTGTGAGAGGCCTGAATTCTTACTGGTTGGTAGGTGATCAAATACTTATGTCATGCAATAAAATGCAAATTAATTACTTCAAAATCATACAATGTGATTTTCTGGATTTTTGTTTTAGATTCCGTCTCTCACATTTGAAGTGTACCTATGATACAAATTACAGACCTCTACATGCTTTGTAAGTAGGAAAACCTGCAAAATCGGCAGTGTATTAAATACTTGTTCTCCCCACTGTACATGGAAACCTCCCTTGACACTCCTTAGAACTGGGTTCTGAATTATGCGTTTCTGTCACCTGGGATGTTGGGAGAAGCCAAACCCTGGCGTGACGCTCATCCCTAGTGTTTTTATTCATTTCTGCCTGCTCTATTTGTTGTGGTTTTCCTCCCCTTCCTGATTTCCATGTGGTTTCACCCTCTCACCCCCCCCCCCCCCCCCCCCCCCCATCCATAATTGTCTCACAGTGACATTGTAAAGCTGGTAGAAGTATCCAATGACGGCGGGCCCTTGGGGATCCATGTAGTACCTTTCAGTGCCCAGGACCGCAGGTAAAGCCCTCCCACCACTGGACAGACAGGCAGCAGGCTATCTACACTACGCAGGCATAACACTGCCATGATTAGTGAGGGAGGGGGGGAGTAGAGAGCGAGAGGGAAGCAGGGGGGAGAGAGAGCGAGGGGGAGGGAGAGAGAGAACGCTTAGTCCGCTATGGCACCTGCATCCTCATGTGCCCCAGTACAACACACACACATGGACCTACACCACATACGTGTCATGCTCACGTCATGAAGTAATTAGCTAGTTTACAGTGATCATGATTGTTCAGTGTTTGCAGGTGACTGTCATTTTCCTCCGTGACTCCTGTCTGAAGTATTTTACATGATGTAAAGGTTGTACTGAGCAGTCCATATACACATTTACAGTCCACACACGTCTCCGTTAGATGTAATGGAATAATTGATTTAATGGTCCAGCTCTTTCACATATGTCCACTAGCACAGACCTAGGATTACAATTCCTAGCCTGATCCCAGATCTGTTTGCTATCATGTCAACTCCTTGTCATGCCAAACAAGACAAGGTGTGGCAAGGAATGTCATGATGGCACAAACAGACTGGTACCCAGGCTAGCTTATTCCCTACTGATTCAGAGGATCTTCCAACCAGAAGTTCTGGAAAAGCTGACCTACTCTGTATTCAGTATTTCAGTGAAGTCAGCATTGTTTAGCAGTCAGGAAGCCTGAGGAGCTTTACTGCTGTATGGAGGATTACTGCTTTCTCTGACAGCCGTCACAGCTGAAGGCTTCCCAAACTCAAATGTGATGGAGCAGCATTTCTCGAATTCCTACATGTTACTGTATATTTGACCATTTTCCCTGTCAAAATGCTAATGTTCGCATTTGTTTTGCATAAGGCAGTTCAGTCAGGAGCTAAACTTGGCATTCGGGTAGGGGAAAAAACAAGCACACCTAGCTACAGCAATTAGACCTATGCACACACGTACTGTTTTGGAAGGCAGAAGCCACCTAAATTAGTACTGACAAACATAACGCCATCCAAATTAATAATAATTGATTGGATTTATGTAACGCATTTCTACCAACTGCGCTTTACATAGTAAGGGGGAAACTCGCCTCATCCATCACCAATGTGTAGCACCCACATGGGTGATGCACGGCGACCACTTGTGTGCCAGAACGCTCACCACACATCAGCTATCAGGTGGAGAGGTGAGGAGTGACATATGCCAATTAGGAATGAGGGGGATGATTAGGTGGCCATGATGGAATGGGACCAGGTTGGGAATTTAGCCATGGCAAACACAAGTCTCATATCTCACATCCACTTTTCACTTTGCCGTGAATTAAAACCATACACCCAATCTGTGTTAGCCTGTGAACTGAGTGAGGACGCAGATGACATGGAGGACGTTTTGCTTATCTCTTAGTCATGAGCCTATGGCCGTATCCCAAATGGCACCCTATTCCCTATATAGTGCATACATAGGCAATAGAGTGGCATTTGCGACACACCTTATTCATGTAGAGCCTAGGTGTTTGCTGGAGCTTCAGTAGTCCTCCCCTTTCCAGGCCTGCTCTGAGTCTACCCCAACAAACATATTGAACCCTGAGGCCTCTTCCACAGCTGCCAGCCGTATTACCAACGTCTGCTTCTGAATGTTTCCAGGACTCTCGGCCTGTTGGTCAAGCGCCTGGAGAGGGGAGGCAAGGCGGAGCAGCAGGGTCTGTTTCCAGGAGAACGACTGCATCGTGCGCATTAATAACGGAGACCTGCGAAACATCCGCTTCGAACAGTAAGACACCTGTACCTACCGACCGGGACCACCAGTCCTGAGCCCCCCTCCGCTCCCTGCCAGCCCTCCCTTCCTTCCTCTCCACGGCCATGTCTTCTAACCAAAGCATGGCCTCTGCTGCCGCCGCTGTCTGTTGCTAAGCTAACCCCATTCCTGTTTGACTCCTAGGTCGATCTTACTGTAAGGTCTTGGTAAAAGGGAGGCTGCCTGCCATTCCTCTCAGCCTCTGTCCTCTCCATACTTGCAGACCTTTATATACCTCTGTATCTAGCAGCTCCATCTGTTGCTACTGAATGCTAACCACTCCGTATTTGACTCCTAGGTCAAACCTACCTCTGCTTAACCTGCTTAGCTTCTGATTTTCAGTGCATCCCCCGCCTTGATCTGTCTCTCTCTCCCTCAGCTCCTCAGTCTGAGCAGATCCTAACAGCCTAGCTTACTGCTGCTGCCTCCCATCATTCTCTGCTGCAGATACTGTTCCATAGAAATAGAATGTTGACTTCCTGCTTCATTCCTATTTTGTACACTCAAAATGGCTGCCAGTCTACCCATTATGGCGTCATTGACTTGACTGGAGAAGGCCATTCTATTCATTCTAGTTTTGTGTTGTACGCTGCCTGCATGCCATTCTAGAATCCAGCTATAGCTTCTGAATACAATGTTATGTTACATCCCTCATCATGCTTTATGTAATGTTCTGTATAATGTTTATGTCAGCATAAACGGGCTGCTCCAGTTTTCATGCTTTTCAGAAGCATTAACACTAGTGTACTGTGTAAAACCAGCTGTCATTTGTTTTGTGTGCACACATACTCACACACACTCACAATAACCTACGGCTATTATGTAGCCTAGTGGTTGAACAGGACTCCTGCGGGTATTGCGGGTCCTGCGGGATTCTGGTAGGAATGGGAGTCAAGTTCTAGAGTCAAGTTCGGGACAGGATCAACAGTCTACAGGAACGGGCAGTACAGGAATATGTTTTTGGGCGGAAATATGTAATGTGTGGAGCATTTCGTAAAAACAACTGTGTAGGCTAGGCCTAATGTAGTTTACTTAATAAAAATAAATACAAAAATATATGTTCATTTCCCCCTTCTTCTTCCGTCGGATCACTCTCACGCCTCGCTCCAGTAGTACATGGCTTGTAAAAAATCAAACAGGCTACCAACTGGAGAGTGGGACAAGGGGCCTGAAGCGGCATAGCTGCTCTACTCACTTTACCTTCAAGCCCAATTGTTTGCGTATTTAGCTAAACCCGTGCAATCTGAGGTGAAGAGTGAAATAAAATAAAATCAAATTTTATTGGTCACATGCGCCGAATACAACAGGTGCAGACATTACAGTGAAATGCTTACTTACAGCCCTTAACCAACAGTGCATTTATTTAAAACAAAAAAAAGTAAGAATAAAACAACAACAAAAAAAGTGTTGAGAAAAAAAAGAGCAGAAGTAAAATAAAGTGACAGTAGGGAGGCTATATATACAGGGGGGTACCGTTGCAGAGTCAATGTGCGGGGGCACCGGCTAGGTGAGGTTGTTGAGGTAATATGTACATGTGGGTAGAGTTAAAGTGACTATGCATAAATACTTAACAGAGTAGCAGCAGCGTAAAAAGGATGGGGTGGGGGGGCAGTGCAAATAGTCCGGGTAGCCATGATTAGCTGTTCAGGTGTCTTATGGCTTGGGGGTAGAAGCTGTTGAGAAGTCTTTTGGACCTAGACTTGGCACTCCGGTACCCGCTTGCCGTGCGGTAGCAGAGAGAACAGTCTATGACTAGGGTGGCTGGAGTCTTTGACAATTTTGAGGGCCTTCCTCTGACACCGCCTGGTATAGAGGTCCTGGATGGCAGGAAGCTTTGCCCCAGTGATGTACTGGGCCGTACGCACTACCCTCTGTAGTGCCTTGCGGTCGGAGGCCAAGCAGTTGCCATACCAGGCGGTGATGCAACCAGTCAGGATGCTCTCGATGGTGCAGCTGTAGAATATTTTGAGGATCTGAGGACCCATGCCAAATCTTTTTAGTCTCCTGAGGGGGAATAGGCTTTGTCGTGCCCTCTTCACGACTGTCTTGGTGTGTTTGGACCATGATAGTTCGTTGGTGATGTGGACACCAAGGAACTTGAAGCTCTCAACCTGTTCCACTACAGCCCCGTCGATGAGAATGGGGGCGTGCTCAGTCCTATTTTTTTTCCTGTAGTCCACAATCATCTCCTTTGTCTTGGTCACGTTGAGGGAGAGGTTGTTGTCCTGGCACCACACGGCCAGGTCTCTGACGACCTCCCTATAGGCTGTCTCATCGTTGTCGGTGATCAGGCCTACCACTGTTGTGTCGTCGGCAAACTTAATGATGGTGTTGGAGTCGTGCCTGGCCATGCAGTCATGGGTGAACAGAGAGTACAGGAGGGGACTGAGCACGCACCCCTGAGGGGCCCCCGTGTTGAGGATCAGTGTGGCAGATGTGTTGTTACCTACCCTTACCACCTGGGGGTGGCCCGTCAGGAAGTCCAGGATCCAGTTGCAGAGGGAGGTGTTTAGTCCCAGGATCCTTAGCTTAGTGATGAGCTTAGAGGGCACTATGGTGTTGAATGCTGAGCTGTAGTCGATGAATAGCATTCTCACGTAGGTGTTCCTCTTGTCCAGGTGGGAAAGGGCAGTGTGGAGTGCGATAGAGATTGCATCATCTGTGGATCTGTTGGGGCGGTATGCAAATTGGAGTGGGTCTAGGGTTTCTGGGATAATGCTGTTGATGTGAGCCATGACCAGCCTTTCAAAGCACTTCATGGCTACAGACGTCAGTGCTACGGGTCGGTAGTCATTTAGGCAGGTTATCTTAGAGTCCTTGGGCACGGGGACTATGGTGGTCTGCTTGAAACATGTTGGTATTACAGACTCCGTCAGGGACATGTTGAAAATGTCAGTGAAGACACTTGCCAGTTGGTCAGCACATGCTCGGAGTACACGTCCTGGTAATCCGTCTGGCCCTGCGGCCTTGTGAATGTTGACCTGCTTAAAAGTCTTACTCACATCGGCTACGGAGAGCGTGATCACATAGTCATCCGGAACAGCTGGTGCTCTCATGCATGCTTCAGTGTTGCTTGCCTCGAAGCGAGCATAGAAGTGGTTTAGCTCGTCTGGTAGGCTTGTGTCACTGGGCAGCTCGCGGCTGTGCTTCCCTTTGTAGTCTGTAATAGTTTTCAAGCCCTACCACATCCGACAAGCATCAGAGCCAGTGTAGTATGATTCAATCTTAGACCTGTATTGACTCTTTGCCTGTTTGATGGTTCGTCGGAGGTCATAGCGGGATTTCTTATAAGCGTCCGGGTTAGAGTCCCGTTCCTTGAAAGCGGCAGCTCTACCCTTTAGCTCAGTGCGGATGTTTCCTGTAATCCATGGCTTCTGGTTGGGGTATGTACGTACGGTCACTGTGGGGACGACATCATTGATGCACTTATTGATGAAGCCAGTGACTGATGTGGTGTACTCCTCAATGCTGTCTGAAGAATCCCGGAACATGTTCCAGTCTGTGCTAGCGAACCACTTTTTTATTAACCGAATCACTGGTGCTTCCTGCTTCAGTTTTTGCTTATAAGCAGGAATCAGGAGGATAGAGTTATGGTCAGATTTGCCAAATGGAGGGCGAGGGAGAGCTTTGTATGCGTCTCTGTGTGTGGAGTAAAGGTGGTCTAGAGTTTTTTTTCCCTCTGGTTGCACATTTAACATGCTGGTAGAAATTAGGTAGAACGGATTTAAGTTTCCCTGCATTAAAGTCCCCGGCTACTAGGAGCGCTGCATCTGGATGAGCGTTTTCCTGTTGATTAATGGCCTTGTACAACTCATTCAGTGCAATCTTAATGCCAGCATTGGTTTGTGGTGGTAAATAGACAGCTATGAAAAATATAGATGAAAACTCTCTTGGTAAATAGTGTGGTCTACAGCTTATCATAAGATACTCTACCTCAGGCGAGCAAAACCTCGAGACTTCCTTAGTATTTGATTTTGTGCACCAGCTGTTGTTTACAAATATACACAGACCGCCACCCCTTGTCTTACCGAAATATATTTACTTATGCAATACTGCCACTCAGGTTATTAAAAAAATATATGTATATGTTAATGTGTTGTAAATGTTCATATGTGCACAATGCTCAGCTGTAGGCTACAGATTTATATCGGTGCTGTTATGTACAGACCATCCTGCAGAGGTCTCTGTCCTCATCCTTCAGCCTTAATCGGTACACATTTAGGTAATTTATAATTCGCTCTTATCCATAGCTACTTAGGCCTACAGTCAGTGCATTTAACTAAAATAGGTAAGACAACCACATATCACTGTCGCATTAAATTATTTTAATTACTTCCTAAATAAACACAAAAGCCTATATTTCTGCTCGCAAAAATGAGCATGGGACAGTAACCTCTAATGTAGCCCTCCCACCCCTTCCTCAGATATCTTGGAGAAGCTTTTCTGCCATTTTAGCATGTGTGAAAACCCTGTCTGTTTTGATATATTTAATTCAACCACAGTAAGTTGGGAATCAGATTACAGCTTGTCTTGGACTTGATATAGCCTGAAATTGGGAAGTCTGTTGCCATTGGGAATATTATTAGTGGCTGGGAATACGGCTAGGAATTTTGGCAAGTAATTACAGGGTCGTTATGATGTCTGTTCAGCTGTTTTTAGAGAGAGGATTTGTCTATGTCTGCATCCCAAATGGCACCCTATTCCCTATGTTGCACTACTTTTGATCAGAGCCCTATAGTCCCTGGGGAAAAGTAGTGCACTATATAGGGAATAGGATGCCATTTGTGACGCATCCGAGATGTCTAGCAAAGTCAGCTTTAATGTACTGTAACAGGTGTGGCTAACAAGATTACTGCTATGGCAAGATGACACTCACTAGATAGTTTCAGTTCACATCTACATTACCTATTGTTGAAGGGGTTTAAAAAGATTTTTCTCCAAACGTGCTTTAGAAAACCCATTCCTTTCATCTGTAGCCAAATGAGGGGTTACATGATAAAACTGGCAAGCCTATTCTAAGCATTCTTACTTTCTACAAGCTTTAATCACTGTGCTGTGCAGGTGGCCTACCAGTAGTGTTGAAAACCACCACTAATGTAGTGTGTAACGTGTGGGTGTGTCCTGAATTGGCACCATATTATTTTTTATAGTGCACTACTTTTGACTGGAGCCTTATGGGCCCATTATAGAGGCCATTTAGGACACACTCCTCCTGTGCCATTTGAGATGCAGACTATGTTGGGTCCAACATTTCTGTGTTGACAGTTGTTTTGGTTCTCCCTCCTTCCTGTCCTCAGAGCCCAGAACATGTTCCGCCAGGCCATGCGTTCCCCGGTCATCATGTTCCATGTGGTTCCCAACCTGATGAAGGCCCAGTACGAGCAGCTGTCACACAATGAGAGGAACCCCAACGTGGCCTACTCCTCTGGACGCTTCAGTCCCGACTCCCTAGCCAGCGAGCGAGGCATCACCACCTCAGGCCTGGACCACACACCACAGGTGTTTATACGTTTTTCTATATTGTCTGTCGTTGCTTTTATGATGCAAGGCAAATTTCTGTTAAAACTGATAATAAAATGCTGTCTTATCTTATATCACAGAGGATGTCCCGTGGTCCCCACCCTCACCCCGAGCAGGGCAACGCCTACACCTCTCTACCTCACCTCCATGGGGGCTCCATGGGCAAGCCCCCATTAGGCCACGCCCCTCCAGGCCGCACCCCCTCCCCTCACAGGGTGCTAAACTCCACCCCCACGGCGGGCTTCACCAAAAAGGTCGGCAGGAGACTGAACATCCAGCTCAAAAAAGGTCAGACAGCACACATATACACCTACAAATCAGCATCTGTTTAACCTCAGTAGGCCCAAAGTTCACAAGGTCAGGAATACCTCCTGGTCCTACATATTAATTGGTCTGAATCCATCCTTCAGAGACATGGTTCTCTGATTGGACCTTACAGAGAAAGCATAGCTCTAATCCTCTCCAGCCCATCTAATCCTGGCCAGGGGTCTAAGAAAATTGCCTTAAGGCGTCAGCATGCGTCATTTCGGCTGGCGCCTAGCCGAACCGAACGAGTGTGCTTGCATATACTTCCTTAAAATAAGTACTGTTTGTCCATTTTGAGATGCCGTAGCCAGTATACACTTCCTCAAAATAGTCAGAATGAATCTAAGATAACTCAAGATGTCTGTTAATTTTGACGTTTTTGCCAAAGAGATCTTAGTCACGCAATTGTACATCTAACTAAGATGTTTGGTGCGGTATTTTTCTATGAAAAAATGTGCATGAAAACGAGTCGTCTCTCGTTGAATGACAACAAAGATTTTATTGAAGAATCCCTACTGTTGACCAATTACTGACAAAGGGGCGTAGACTTCGGATCCGAACTTTGGCTTCGCCTACAGAAAAAAAATTGTGTGCCCGAACAACCGAAAAACTAACAAAACTAACAAAAACGTCACAATATCTATATAATATATGCACGAACTCTACCGAACTGTTTGGGCTAGAAACACTGCACCAAATCCCCTCGTTTCAGACTCCTAATTATCCTTCTGAAGACTCTAGCCTCTTCCATGCCAGTCGGAAGAACTTAGGTGTTTTATCTCTGAACACTCAAAAGTCAAATTATAAAATACAACAACTCTAATAAAATAAAACATTATAAAAAGAAGTGTACAAGATAAGCCAAGACATACATTAAAAAAATATTCCCAATAAGTAATGAAATAAGTTAAATTAAATACCCCCACCCCCAAAATACAATTGCACACCCCAAAAAAAGAACAACAAATGCCGGTATAAAGTGCAGTTTGCCAGGATGACAAAGACGGTAATTGTGGTAGTACCAGTTTCAAGCAGGGCTGCTTTTTAGGCATTAGGCTACTTGGAGGTGAAACTATGAGAAATCAAGGGGCCTAGCATTGGGAATTTGACAACAAGCTTTAGTTCATTTCTTAAATTATAGCAGTAAAAACAGTTAATTATTCATCATTGTTTTTGTTTATTTTATTAGGTGTATGATACTTTTTATACGTTTTTTGTATACGTTTTTTATATGGAACTTTGCATTGTACTGTGAAACTGTAGGTGTTAAAATCCCATTTGTCAACCAGCCTTTTTAGCTTGCCCTTTAATCAATGATGCCTTTGGGTTTTGATATATTTTATTGCCGTGCTTGTTTTTTCATTTTATTGTTTTAAGTGTGTTGCTATTTTAAATACACTTCAAATAAAGTTTGAATTCAAGTTTGATATTGGATCTTTAATTGACGATTGTATGAGTATAGACTCCATTAACTATATAGTCTGTCATTCTTCATAAGATGTTTTTAGAACTAGGTTATAGGCCTACTAAATAAATGTTTGCCGTAGGTTGCCTGCTGAACTGGGGTGTGATATGAGGACAGTAGACAAGGTGTTAGGGGCTATTCGCGTAAATATTTAGTGTAAAGATCCATGACCTTCTAGAGCCAACTAATCAGGACTGGTCAAACTCTGACTTCTCAGTAATGAGCTTCTACTTATTATCATTAAAGGTATTCTGACTTACATGTACACACTTGGAAACAGGCCATTTTACGCAGTGTTACTTTCCCTCAGTCTAAGAATTTAGCCTCTTAGACTCTAGAAACAAAATGCTTTGTTTAGGTTTGTGTGATGAAGTTGGATAAATAAATACTTGTTCTGTTTAGGAGGAACATAGCAAATGGTTTAGGTGGAAAGATATAATTATTATAGTAGCTTCCAAATAAACAAATGCCAGTCTCAACTGAAGAGATGCACACATCAGAAATTTGATGTAGCCTTGAATAAAGATGGCCAAACGGCCTCCCACTTTTGCCTGAAGGGGTGGATAGAAAATGGGTTGCAGATTCAGATTGAGCCATGAATTCCTAATGAAACACATCTCAGGGGTGTATGTAGTGACTGACAGCTGGACAGAGTTGACACAGCACAGGCCTCTGCCATAGGAGACACACATACCAGTCTGCCATAAGGACCAGGTGTGTGTGCCTGCCAGGTCTGGGGGGCCAGAGGGCTTGTTGCTAAGCAGCCACTCGTCTGTGTAGTGTGCCCACTCCATATGGCACACCAGCCCTGTGTTGGGATCTCGCCACTGTCCTGGACTCCTGGCCTGGAACCAAGCCAGAGTACTGAAAGGCCAGGTATCATGGATGCATCCCAAACGGCACCCTATTCGCTATTTTATAATGCACTGGTCAAGATTAGTGCCCTATATAAGGAATACTGTAGGGTGCCATTTGGAAAGCAGCCCATAACTCCCAACCTGGTTGGTTCCTGTTAATAAGATCCCCACTGACCACATCCAGGTGTCTATCATTTTATTGGGCTTTAGTTGGAGGCCTACATAAACATAGCGCTGTTAATAATATCCACCAGTTACTGGAAGACATTTCTCTTTCTACCATTCCTTGTTTTTGTTTGTTTGCTTTGGTTGAATGAGCACAGGAGTTGCAGATTTAACATTCATTTATGAGACTTCACCTGGCTTGTTTGTTACGTTTTGAGTGTAGACTAAACCTTATTTGGAGGATAGATTTACTTGGTTTGTTTGCATCGTAACTCAGACTCACTTACAAAACCCAAGCTGTAACCCAATCAATCTGGAATTAAACTCTATAAGACATTGAGCAGGTCTTTCCTAATCAAGCTAATGTGTATTTAAAGATCCTGTGTACCATATGAAGTACGGCAATGGTAAAGACATTTACCGGTAAGTATAATACATGCCCATACTATGGTGGGAAGTTGATTGGCTTATTGACATGGAAGGGATTTAGTGTTCTGAAACAGAATCTTCTGAGCATTCTGGAATCCTCTGTTTACCGTACACAGCTCAAACAGCGGGATTAGGCTTGGTAGACGTTCTACTAAGACATTCTGAATGTGGTGCCGTCTGGGAGAGGAGAGGTACGATCCCCATCCTCTACAGTCAGATTCAGTCTGTCTCATTAGGCCGGAAGGATTCTGCAGGTCAACACTGCATCTTGTCTCTTTTGTGTATGGGTGGTCCTCTGTAGCTCAGCTGGTAGAGCACGGCGCTTGTAACGCCAAGGTAGTGGGTTCGATCCCCGGGACCACCCATACACAAAAAAAAAGATTTATGCACGCATGACTGTAAGTCGCTTTGGATAAAAGCGTCTGCTAAATGGCATATTATATTATATTATTATTATTGTCTCAACATTCCATACTAGCCGTCCAGAATCTTTCCCGTGTTCCATTTTCTTATTGGAATGCCTTTTTTGGTTTTCTATGGCCATTTGGACTATACAGTGGGGAGAACAAGTATTTGATACACTGCAGATTTTGCAGGTTTTCCTACTTACAAAGCATGTAGATGTCTGTAATTTTTATCATAGGTACACTTCAACTGTGAGAGATGGAATCTAAAACAAAAATCCAGAAAATCACATTGTATGATTTTTAAGTAATTAATTTGCATTTTATTGCATGACATAAGTATTTGATAAATCAGAAAAGCAGAACTTAATATTTGGTACAGAAACCTTTGTTTGCAATTACAGAGATCATATGTTTCCTGTAGGTCTTGACCATGTTTGCACACACTGCAGCAGGGATTTTGGCCCACTCCTCCATACAGACCTTCTCCAGATCCTTCAGGTTTCGGGGCTGTCGCTGGGCAATACAGACTTTCAGCTCCCTCCAAAGATGTTCTATCGGGTTCAGGTCTGGAGACTGGCTAGGCCACTCCAGGACCTTGAGATGCTTCTTGTTTCGGGTCGTTGTCATGCTGGAAGACCCAGCCACGACCCATCTTCAATGCTCTTACTGAGGGAAGGAGGTTGTTGGCCAAGATCTCGCGATACATGGCCCCATCCATCCTCCCCTCAATACGGTGCAGTCGTCCTGTCCTCTTTGCAGAAAAGCATCCCCAAAGAATTATGTTTCCACCTCCATGCTTCACGGTTGGGATGGTGTTCTTGGGGTTGTACTCATCCTTCTTCTTCCTCCAAACACGGCGAGTGGAGTTTAGACCAAAAAGCTCTATTTTTGTCTCATCAGACCACATTACCTTCTCCCATTCCTCCTCTGGATCATCAGACGAGCCTGGACATGCGCTGGCTTGAGCAGGGGGACCTTGCGTGCGCTGCAGGATTTTAATCCATGACGGCGTAGTGTGTTACTAATGGTTTTCTTTGAGACTGTGGTCCCAGCTCTCTTCAGGTCATTGACCAGGTCCTGCCGTGTAGTTCTGGGCTGATCCCTCACCTTCCTCATGATCATTGATGCCCCACGAGGTGAGATCTTGCATGGAGCCCCAGACCGAGGGTGATTGACCGTCATCTTGAACATCTTCCATTTTCTAATAATTGCGGCAACAGTTGTTGCCTTCTCACCAAGCTGCTTGTCTATTGTCCTGTAGCCCATCCCAGCCTTGTGCAGGTCTACAATTTTATCCCTGATGTCCTTACACAGCTCTCTGGTCTTGGCCATTGTGGAGAGGTTGGAGTCTGTTTGATTGAGTGTGTGGACAGGTGTCTTTTATACAGGTAACGAGTTCAAACAGGTGCAGTTAATACAGGTAATGAGTGGAGAACAGGAGGGCTTCTTAAAGAAAAACTAACAGGTCTGTGAGAGCCGGAATTCTTACTGGTTGGTAGGTGATCAAATACTTATGTCATGCAATAAAATGCAAATGAATTACCTAAAAATCATACAATGTGATTTTCTGGATTTTTGTTTTAGATTCCGTCTCTCACAGTTGAAGTGTACCTATGATAAAAATGACAGACCTCTACATGCTTTGTAAGTAGGAAAACCTGCAAAATCGGCAGTGTATCAAATACTTGTTCTCCACACTGTATGTCTTGTTGCTGTGTATGTCCTAATGTACCTGTGATATGAGGGCAAGTTCAAATATAGGCCTTCTCACACTTTTTCACACACATCCATCAGGTTCGGAGGGTCTGGGTTTCAGCATAACATCGCGTGACGTCCCCATCGGCGGCTCGGCGCCCATCTACGTGAAGAACATCCTTCCCCGAGGAGCTGCCATCCAGGACGGACACCTCAAGGCTGGGGACAGGCTGCTGGAGGTGAGACCCAAGATGAAGGGAGTAACACTAACTGCCTGATCACCCTTCCTAGATCTCTGTTCGCAATGGTTTATGTTGTGTTGGCCTCAAATACAGTCTGGCACATACAGTGAGGGAAAAAAGTATTTGATCCCCTGCTGATTTTGTACGTTTGCCCACTGACAAAGAAATGATCAGTCTATAATTCTAATGGTATGTTTATTTGAACAGTGAGAGACAGAATAACAACAAAAAATCAAGAAAAATGCATGTAAAAAATGTTAGAAATTTATTAGCATTTTAATGAGGGAAATAAGTATTTGACCCCCTCTCAATCAGAAAGATTTCTGGCTCCCAGGTGTCTTTTATACAAGTAACGAGCTGAGATTAGGAGCACACTCTTAAAGGGAGTGCTCCTAATCTCAGCTTGTTACCTGTATAAAAGACACCTGTCCACAGAAGCAATCAATCAGATTCCAAACTCTCCACCATGGAAGAGTAACACACTACGCCGTGAAGGACTGAAATCCTGTAGCGCCCGCAAGGTCCCCCTGCTCAAGAAAGCACATATACAGGGCCGTCTGAAGTTTGCCAATGAACATCTGAATGATTCAGAGGAGAACTGGGTGAAAGTGTTGTGGTCAGATGAGACCAAAATCGAGCTCTTTGGCATCAACCCAACTCACCGTGTTTGGAGGAGGAGGAATGCTGACTAAAACCCCAAGAACACCATCCCCACCCTCAAACATGGAGGTGGAAACATTATGCTTTGGGGGTGTTTTTCTGCTAAGGGGACAGGACAACTTCACCGCATCAAAGGGACGATGGACGGGGCCATGTACCGTCAAATCTTGGGTGAGAACCTCCTTCCCTCAGCCAGGGCATTGAAAATGGGTCGTGGATGGGTATTCCAGCATGACAATGATCTAAAACACACGGCCAAGGCAACAAAGGAGTGGCTCAAGAAGAAGCACATTGAGGTCCTGGAGTGGCCTAGCCAGTCTCTATACCTTAATCCCATAGAAAATCTGTGGAGGGAGCAGAAGGTTCGAGTTGCTAAACGTCAGGCTCGAAACCTTAATGACTTGGAGAAGATCTGCAAAGAGGAGTGGGACAAAATCCCTCCTGAGATGTGTGCAAACCTGGTGGCCAACTACAAGAAACGTCTGACCTCTGTGATTGCCAACAAGGGTTTTGCCACCAAGTACTAAGTCATGTTTTGCAGAGGGGTCAAATACTTATTTCCCTCATTAAAATGCAAATCAATTCATAACATTTTTGACATGTGTTTTTCTGGATTTTTTTGTTGTTATTCTGTCTCTCACTGTTCAAATAAACCTACCATTAAAATTATAGACTGATCATGTCTTTGTCAGTGGGCAAACATACAAAATCAGCAGGGGATCAAATACTTTTTTCCCTCACTGTAGACTTGTTATTTAGGCTGTAAGGCTCATAATAGTGTCTTGGTGGGACCAATTCAAGTGAATGATAGCATATGTGACCAACCGGCTCGATTTGGTCTTATGTAGCAACATTTGAGATTTTGTTTTTTACATTGGATAAAAGTAGAGACTCGGAGCTAGAAAATTGTATATCATACACTACAGTTGAGGAACAATGGGAAAGTAATTCTGCTTTGAAAATTGATCAACTTGTAACCTCACTTTTGAGAAAATGGCCCTTGAATGTTTTGGTACACCTACTGGAGAGATCTTCTTTGTCTATACCCATTCAGAATCGTTCACACCCTCTTAAGCTTTAGCCCCACCCACCTCTTTTAAGGATTCACATGTGAGGCCATGTACTAAACAACCAAAGATTTCAAGACTAAATGCTGGTTTATACTACGTGTGTTAATTTAATCAGGAGTGACAGAGTGTGCTCTGGGTGTTCTTAAACTCAGAGCTTTGTCAGATTGTCTGTTCGTAAATTCAGAATGTTTCGCTCTCGGAGCGTTTAGAGCACACGCTGGACGCTCTGGCCAAGGAGTAGGGTTGATCCGAGCGTTCTGTCCTAACAACAGCACCCAAGCTAACTGGCTAATGTTGGCTAGCTTGCGTGCTACTTCCAGACACAAATGAGAGAATAGCTCACTGACCATTTTACCCACCCTAGCAGAGCTGGTGACTGCAACTGTGCTGCTGGCAACAATTTAGTTATGCTTTTTTGCCAACGTTTACTGACAACGGCCATATTCAACGGGTGTTGAGCGTACGTAAATTCGTCAGTTATTCTGTGCTCTGGCACACTCAGACGAGAGTGCTATGAAATCAGAGTAGATAGCCAGAGCGAATTTACCAGCTACGTAAATCGACAGTTGTCGCAGTGACATCATGACCATTCTATTGAAATGGTTACTTGCATAGTGGAGTCTTTTGTTTAGACATGTAGCTAGCTAGCTAAACAATGAACCATAATCCCAACTCATAACGTTACTACCCTGCATGAATCTGCAGGTAGCTAACCAACCAGGTTCAATGTTAGCTAGCTAACATTAGGCTATAACTAGCAATGCAATTGGCTCTGAGATATGAATAATATTACTACACAGATCATACACGTAATGTTAGCTAGCGAACCAGCCAGCTAACGTTAGCTAGCTAGCTAACAGTACACTTTAACTTGAAATGTAAATGACTTTCTGACAAGATTAGAAACTTGTAATATCTGAAAATGTACCTAGCTAGACTCTTACCCGTGTACATGGATGGACACTTCTCCCTCTCTGTCACAGATGCCATGGTTGCCCCTTTTTTTTTTTTTTTTTTTTTTTTTACCCTTAGTTTGAAGATGTAATCCGGAGAGGTGTTTTATACAACATCCTTCTGTGTGTTCTCTTTTCGACTCCGTCTGTATATTTGCAATCAAACGCCAGAATTTTATCCATCTCATTAGCTATCATACTCTAATTCCACTGATTTCAAAACTCGGTCCTCCAGAAAGTGGAGAGCAACACTTATGCAGTTCTACTACGTGATATATTTTTTTAAAAGCCGCGTTAGAAAGGATTACCTACACATACTGACCAGCTCATGTTATAGACAGAAACGTGCTACATGGCAGACCAATCTGAACTCCTCTCTCAGCATGTCCAGCCCACTCATTATCTCAGCCAATCATGGCTAGCGGGAAGGTTGCTGTCTTTTTCTGTGGCTAAACCAACTATGCTTGTAATTTAACAATTTTATTCGTATTTACAGATGGCATACACATTTGTTAATAAGGCACATGAAAGTTCACATGTTCCAGAAGGCATTTCTGCCCAATGTTTTTTTTAAAGTTTACGTTCAAATGGCTCTCTTGTGAAGTAGTGACGTGCGACATATGCCTATTTTCCTGAAACGAGTCACATATTCCTCAGTGTGGGGTTTAGAGGTCTCAATGTATGTTACTAATTGCCGTTTGTCTTCCAGGTGAATGGAGTGGACCTGGTTGGGTTGACCCAGGAGGAGGTGGTCTCTCTGCTGAGGGCCACGCCCATGGGAGGGGCTGTGGGGCTGGTGGTGTTACGACAGGAGGAGGCCTTCCTGCCCAGAGAAGTGGTATGTCTCTCTCTGCTTTCCTATCACCGCAAACTGTACTTCCCTCCTTTCTAGGACCCTTAGAAAGTGGAGGCCCCATTTGTCATATGTCCCATACTCTCAGGAAAGTTTGTGTTTGTGTGTCTGTCTGTATGTATGTCGTTAGATCCTGTGGTTGTGTGTGTCTTAAACCGTGTCACAGATCTAGTTAATCTCCCAGTTCCCCAGTAAGTCTTGTGTTCTCCTCCCATCCTCCTCCTAACACAACATGACAATTCAGCATGCTGATTGATTGTGCTGCTCCGGCACTGCGCTACTCTTTATTATCCTGGTCTATGTCCCAAATGACACCCTATTCCCTACATAGTGCACTACTTTTGACCAGAGCCCAAAAAGCTAGTTCAAAAGTAATGCACTATAGGGAATAGGGTGAATTTGGGACGCAACCCCTGATCCAGCTATTCTCAGTGGGAACCTATAGCGCTCAGCTCCCTCAGAACAGATTAGAGAGATTGATTGATGGATGGATGAAGGAACAGGCAGGCCAGGGACAGACTGAGAAATACACTTGTTGTTGTGTGGAATGTCAATCAGATTGAGCAGCACCTAGGGCTGTTGCGGTGACCGTATTACTGCCACACCGGCGGTCACGAGTCATGAAGGCAGTCAAATTCCACGTGACCGTTTAGTCACAGTAATTAGGCTTCTCCAAGCTCTGATGCTGCTGATGGTCATTAGTAGCCTACCAAAATTGCTAACTGCCTGGTACTCAGCACTCTATTGTCCCTCTAATCACTCTGACATCAATGCAAATATTTTCGAAAATCTAATCAAACACTTCATGAGAGCCCATGAGCTCATATTGCGCAATATTTAAATAAGCTATGCAATTGCGCGAGAAAACAGAGTGACGGCCTCTATTAAAAAGAGGAGGATCAGCTTTCTATAGGCTAGGCCTACTATATTTATTTCTCAACTTTCCTAATATTAAGCACATTGCTTATATTTACAACAGGAGTATAGCCTACCTGGCTGGCATGAAAATAAACCACAGGTGCATGATAATGGTCCATTCTAAATCAAAACAAATTTCAAGCATATATTATTTAGTATACACTACCGGTCAAAGGTTTTAGAACACCTACTCATTCAAGGGTTTTTCTTTATTTTTACTATTTTCTACATTGTAGAATAATAGTGAAGACATCAAAACTATGAAATAACACTAATGGAATCATGTAGTAACCAAAAAAGTGTTAAACAAATCAAAATATATTTTATATTTGCGATTCTTCAAATAGCCACCCTTTGCCTTGATGACAGCTTTGCACACTCTTGGCATTCTCTCAACCAGCTTCACCTGGAATGCTTTTCCAAAAGTCTTGAAAGAGTTCCCACATATGCTGAGCACTTGTTGGCTGCTTTTCCTTCACTCTGCCGTCCGACTCATCCCAAACCATCTCAATTGGGTTGAGTTCGGGTGATTGTGGAGGCCAGGTCATCTGATGCAGTACTCCATCACTCTCCATCTTGGTAAAATAGCCCTTAAATAGCCTGGAGATGTGTTGGGTCATTGTCCTGTTGAAAAACAAATGATAGTCCCACTAAGCCCAAACCAGATGGGATGGCGTATCTCTGCAGAATGCTGTGGTAGCCATGCTGGTTAAGTGTGCCTTGAATTCTAAATAAATCACAGACAGTGTCACCAGCAAAGCTCCCCCACACCATAACACCACCTCCTCCATGCTTTACGTTGGGAAATACACATGCAGAGATCATCCGTTCACCCACACAGCATCTCACAAAGACACGCCGGTTGGAACCAAAAATCTCCAATTTGGACTTCAGACCGAAGGACAAATTTCCACCGGTCTAATGTCCATTGCTCGTGTTTCTTGGCCCAAGCAAGTCTCTTCTTATTATTGGTGTCCTTTAGCAGTGGTTTCTTTGCTGCAATTCTACCATGAAGGCCTGCTTCACACAGTCTCCTCTGAACAGTTGAGGTTAAGATGTGTCTGTTACTTGAACTCTGTGAAGCAATTTCTGAGGCTGGTAACTCTAGTGAACTTATCCTCTGCAGCAGAGGTAACTCTGGGTCTTCCATTCCTGTGGCGGTCCTCATGAGAGCCAGTTTCATCATAGCGCTTGATGGTTTTTGCAACTGCACTTGAAATGTTCCATATTGACTGATGTCTTAAAGTAATGATGGACTGTCATTTCTTTTTGCTTATTTGAGCTGTTCTTGCCATAATATGGACTTGGAATTTTACCAAATAGGGCTATCTTCTGTAAACCACCCCTACCTTGTCACAGCACAACTGATTGGCTCAAACGCATTAAGAAGGATATAATTTCAAAAAAGTAACTTTTAAGAAGGCACACCTGTTAAATGAAATGCATTCCAGGTGACAATCTCATGAAGCTGGTTGAGAGAATGCCAAGAGTGTGCAAAGCTGTCATCAAGGCAAAGGGTGGCTAATTGAAGAATCTCAAATATAAAATATATTTTGATTTTTTAAATACTTTTTTGTTTACTACATGATTGCATATGTGTTGTTTCATAGTTTTGATGTCTTCACTATTATTCTACAATGTAGAAAATAGTAAAAATAAAGAAAAACCCTTGAATGAGTAGGTGTGTCCAAACTTTTGACTGGTAGTGTATGTAAAAACAAGATTAAATCAAGAGTATTCTGATGGGTGATAATATTAGCCTATCACTTGTGAATTATATATTATCACTTGTGAGTGATGCCCAGCATAAGAAACAATGCCTTTTTCTTGCGATTTGTTTCGAATCGTAGTCGCACACCTCATGTAGCCTAGCCCATAGGCCTATATGTTTTAATAAGGTTTGTATTATAACTAAAGTGGCCAAATAACTTCTTAAAATTAAGCACATTAATCCATTTTACAAGGGGTGTAGAGCCTAACTGGCATACATAAGCAGCGCGTGAGTTTCAAGTTTGAGGAAGATAATTTTCACCATAAAAATGTGCCTTTATAATAAAAGCATTACATGCATAATTGCATTTGCAGTCACTTTTGATAATGGTGTTTTCTGCTAATGGAACATTTACGCTTATAGCTTACTACAATGTGCGCATTGCTGCGCTTATAATGTGAAGAAATAGCCTAATAGTTGATATATCAACATTTTAAGCTAAACGTTCTGATCTGTTGCGTCAGCCACATTGCGTAACAATGTTTTTTTTGATGCTAGTGGTTGTATTAATTTGGGATCTATCGCACCCCACAACTGTCCCAGACTATGTTTGGACTATTTATTTCTCGCACAGAATAGAATAGGTCGACCTTTGTGCTATGGGGGATAGTAGATTGACATAGGCTAGTGCTTTTGCTCTTCGTTAGGCCTACTCATCATGTTGGCTGACGAAAAGTAAACGTGGACAGTTCTACCAATATCTTGCGTCCCCGATGTGTCTGTCTTCACTTGTAGCCTGTGAGAAAGACCCGATCACGTGATGGAGCGCGCAGCACTCAGGGAGAAGGGCACACCGCCACTGGCCGGAAAAGGCATGGATTTTTTTAGGGTGCATTACGGCCACACAAATGGGATGCCGCCGTGAATTTCTAGGCATTATCAAGTGCTTGTCAAATTGTGAATGAGTGACTGATGTAGTGTGTACAGCCTGCGCAAAAAACAAAACCGAGCTCATGCCTTTCAAGCTACTTTTTTCAAATCATCATTAGAGTCGCATCATGCAGCCTTACAATGTTTTAAAAATTCAAACATATAGCCCAACGTTTGTAGAACAACTAAAGTTGCATTAATAACTCTAAATTAAGCATATAGGAGTACCTATTTCTTTGTTAACCGCTCAACACAGAAAAGCCGCATGTGCGCACTCCCTCATCGTTTGGAGAAAATATATTATTTTTATTTTAGTTCAGCTTTGTTCAATTGTATTCTTCATACCATAAAATAATGCCACGGAATTCTAAGCAAATCTTGTCTGCTAAATGAACTAGTGTAGCCTACAGCCATTTGGCATAGCCAGATCAGGACCTAACATAAGGACAACTCAGGGTATGCTATTCTGTTCTTCTGAAATAGACTACATTTTATTCATAACCTGCTTCTTTAGACCTGTCTAAAATAGATAATGGATTTATTTTGAAGGTGTAGGCTATATTACATGGATTTATTACATTTCTTTAAATGTATCTGTTCCAAAGGTCAGCATCAGTGGCTGGTAGGCTTTGTGTGGAAGCCAGGCGATACTAAATGTGTTTATGTTAATTAACGGTCAATTACCACGAGACCGACAGTTATTTGCTTGACAATCACCGGCTGACGAAATTTCGTGACCGCCACGGCCCTAGCAGCACCAACACACTCCAGACCAGTAGACCCAGGAGTAATGTTTCCGTGACATGATATGCCTCCCAAATGACACCCTATTCCCTATATGGTGCACTACTTTTGACCAGAGCCCAATGGCCGTTCATCAGAGAAGAGGGATCAATACTCATCCTCTGATTAGACCAGGACCTTTCTTTCACTTAGTATATATCCCAAATGGCACCCTATTCCATATGTAGTGCACTACCTTTGACCCAGGCCCATAGGGCTCTGGTCAAAAGTAGTGCACTATATAGGGAACGGGGTGCCATTTGGGACGCAGACTAGATCTATTCATCTGTCTACTGCCGTCTCATCTGACACATGATAGGAGGGATATAAATGTTACACAGGGGAGAGAGAACCTCTTCTACCTCCAGGGTTAGGGGTAGTTAAATTACACAGAGGAAAGAGAACCTCTTCTACCTCCAGGGTTAAGGTTAGTTAAATTACACAGAGGAAAGAGAACCTCTTCTACTTCCAGGGTTAGGGTTAGTTAAATTACACGGAGGAAAGAGAACCTCTTCTACCTCCAGGGTTAGGGTTAGTTAAATTACACGGAGGAAAGAGAATCTCTTCTACCTCCAGGGTTAGGGTTAGTTAAATTACACGGAGGAAAGAGAACCTCTTCTACATCCAGGGTTAGGGTTAGTTAAATTACACGGAGGAAAGAGAACCTCTTCTACCTCCAGGGTGAAAATGGGCACTGCTGGTTTTCTCTTCTACCTGATGTTTAATTGCACCCACCTGGTGTCCCAGGTCTATATCAGTCCTTGATTAG